GGGAAAGGTCTCTCATCACTATAACTGTAAGATGCAAGGCAGGTGGGGGAAATTTCTTCTTTAATGAGCAATGAATTGGACTTCTAGACACTTCAGGCTATTTTCATACTAATGCATGTACGCAATCATCTTCCCATCCTTGGACATAAAGGCCACCACAGTTCCTCACATTAAAGAATGCTTCCTCAGTCTACAGGACGCCCTTGCCCAGCAGCTCCCCATATCCAGTGTCCCTCCCCACATTGCTACCGATGTCCGATATCCGGTATTACTACTCAGCGTTAAGACTTCTCTAGTCCACTGGGACTAGAAACACCTCGCTGCGCTGGTCTCTATCACATTCTGTCCATGCTTCCTTTAATTGCTACCAGGCCCTGGACCTTTGTGGCTGATAGCCAGGGTGAGAGCACACAGCAGAACAGGCTTGCTAGGTGCGAGGGCAGGAACGTGCTGGCAATCGGAGCGAGAATCACACTGGGAAGGAATGGAAATAAGAACATGGGAAGGAAAGAAGGGATACAAAGCTGAGGCTAGATCTGCCCTTGGATTGCAATTTCCCCATACCTAGTGCCAAAGTTTTTTTTCCTATGTTCTTAACAGCGCTCTAGACTGTTAAAATGGAAACTTTTTAAATATGATTTATTTTTATCCCTGTTGATCATTTTTCTACAGACTTCAGCTTAGCCAGTAAAATTAGCTGAGCTGATTTTACTTTCAGAGCTCATTGTCAGCTGTTGAATAACTTGACAGGAATTTTTATTTGTTTCAGAGCTTTTTTCTTCTGAAACACACAAAAAAAAATCCCTATCTGTATGCACCAGCTTCTTCTAACAAAATCTGAACATCAAACCACAGCTTACTTAAATCCTGGAAGCCAAAGGCTCTGCTGCCTTTGCAATCTCATACCTGAGCAGCGGAGGGAAAGCTCAGCCGAAGTCACCCTTCTTCATACTCTCAGTTACCTGGTCACGAGGAAAACGACTGCCCAGGACAAGTCGGAGCAGCCCAGAGAGTTGGCACGGTGCCCAGGGGCTGCTGCAGGCCTGGTCCTGCAACATGCCTAGCTGGGCTCCCATGGAAGGGGAGGAGAAACACCCCCGAGCTGTGGCCTTACAGCCAAAGAACTTCAGCAAGATTTACACTAAGTAGGAATCTGATTGATCCTACCTTATACCTTTAAACACATCCCTCGAACTACCCGTTCTACCCTAAATACAGGAGAACAGGTGCCAGAACAGAAGCATGAGGTGGATTTCCTCTCTGCAAAGCGTTCAGCCATCCACAGAGAGGAGGCTACAGGGACCTGCTACCTCGTACTAAAGCATGTGTTAGATTCCAGGTATTATTGGGATCACCTCAATTTTGGCTAAAGCAATTTAAAACGTTAATATAAACAGAAAAAAACCTATTTTAAAACAAATCATTAGTGCCTAAACTCATTACTATGTTGACTTCAACTCAAGTCTTGCATTAATGTCCATTTTGTATCCTTCTCTGTTTTTTAAGGATTAGCTTCTTACCCATTTCTTATCCAAATAAGTACACAGAGTTTGTTTATTTAGGAAGATGACTAAAATGTTCCCTCCTCTTCTCTCTTTTTTTATACATATTACCCAATTTTTCCCAGTAAGATGAGTTATTTCTCTTAAACACACCAGTAAATAATAATTTTTGGCCTGTCTGTACTTTGTTAAATGACACTTATCCTATTCTTCTGTTTATATTCACTTGAACCACTCTTGACTGGTGTACACGCCATTAAGATGGCCATGAGAAAGCTGTATGTTTGGGGAGATTAAAGATTTAAAAAACGTGTCTCAAATGCAGATTTGAAATTTATTTGCATACGTTCCCCAAATATTTGAATAACCCCCACACACACTTATTTCAAACCATGGCATCCTTCCTTGAAACAGGCCTGCCTGTAATTAAATATACGTGACTTTCCTTCGTAGGGGGGTTGGCCGGTGGGTCCCACGGTCGCGAGCTGGCTCAGGCACAGCTCATCTGTGTGCAACGCTGGACCCGCGCGTGTTGGTCCCGGGAGCAGTTTGGTGTCCCGCACCCCTTCCCTGGGCGCCCTCGAGGAGGGGGAGGAAACCCAAAACGGCCCAGCAGGAAGGGAGCAGCGCAGGAATAACGGGAAAGGGCAAATTAGGGTCCAAGGGGAGGTACCCGGCTGCGGGCTGGGGCCAAAGGGGGCACCACACG